CAAGACCTGTACTCGGCCTAGCTCCTTGACCTTCCCCCCCCCCCCCCCCTTCCCCCTTCCTGGACCTGACCAATTCCTCGATTGTGATGCTTTAGTTTCCTGCCACTACGCCGGACGTGCTTTTGACTACTACTTACTACTAGTAGTACTGCTGCTGCTGCTGCTGCTTCGGAGTACATTACAATCTTACTACATTGATAGTAACTACCGCAACTGGCTCCGAAAAAGAATAGCTCAGCCTGGACAGCAACAACTAGGGCGAATTTATCTCCATATTACTCATACACTCTATTACTTTGCCGTCTAGCTTTCTCGACCACGGATTCCACCTCTTCCCCGATCCTTTTTCTCCCTTCATCTTTTCGCCTCTCCAAATTACTTGCTTGACATACTCATCGTTTCTTTACCTTCTCCTTCTTGCGCTGTACATTGGAGCATGCGTTGGGAGGGTTGACGGTGCCCTAACGAATTGATCTTGATCTATTACTATTTAGTTCAGTGCTTCTATTCAAGCTTGCTTGTGTGCTTGTGCTGGCTCGCTGGCTTGACCCTCCAACCCACCCCGCCAGGACGGATCCATGCAGACCATGCCGCCGCGAGCATCGCTAACGAGCTCCTTCTCGGTCACCGACGTCAATAATGAAGTGGTGTGTCCGTTGAAGAATAACGATGGCTCCAATTGCCGGAAGAGATGTCTGGGTGTGAGTAGTACTCCTTCAGCTCGCCTTTTCCCCCCTCTCAGCTTTCCCTCCTGCTCCTTCTTCCCGCCCGCTATCGATCCGAGCCCCACTTTCATGCAATGGTCAGCAAGCAGCCTGCGCCTCTGTGCGAGGACCAGTGCGGGCGCAAGCTGGAGAGAAAAAAAAATAATATGATCTGTCGCATTACTATCCAAGCCTAATGCTTGTGGTTAACATGTTGTTCTGCCCTTCAGGAGAAGCGCTATCGCTCCATGCAGGAGCATATCCGGAGAGCCCACCCGAACCACTACATTCCGAAGCTCCCGGCGACCGAGGAGAGCTTCATCTTGATGGTGACCACCCCTCCAGACCAACGGGCTCATCTATCTCCCTCAACTCAAGCTCCATCTCGGCGACGCAATGGTCGGTCATCATGGCTGGAATGTGTGGCTCTCAGAACGTCAACTGACTGGCTATAGAAATTGCTGATCGGGATATCTACGTTGCTGACGCTAGCTCTCCGGCAACCCCGCGGGGCATTGACGAGACTCACCCCGCGGCAGCGACCGCCGCCGTCGCATTGGCGCAATTGCACCACAACCGTCTAGCTTCCGACTGGGATACGGACATGGTATGCTAGACTACTTTGTGAGCAGTAGAAAAGCAAGATTGCCTAACTGGTGCGCTAGGAGACTCACTCGGACAATGACCGAGACCGCCTGCGATCCGTTGAACTGCCTTCCCTGAGGGAGCACTTCAAGCAGGAGGCTTCGCTGCCTCCTTTCTCATCCCCTCGTCCTCGCGAGCTTCTCCCGTCCATTCTGACGCACTCCCCGCCCGGTCGCTCTTCCACCCTGCCTCCCATCCAGCATCGAGACAAGCTTCCTCGTCCTCGCAAGTCGTCCATTTCTAGAGCTAGAAAACCGAAGCATGAGCGGACCAGATCCAAGGAATACGGCCGACGCCCTAGCCTGGGCGATCGCAAGGCGCTTTCTGCGGAACCACAGACTGCCGCATGGGCTCAAGGCAAGCGCTGGGAAGATCTGATTGAGGCAGCTACCTCGGCCACGGAAGCGGATGACGATCATAACTCGGATGTATGTGCCTGCTTTTTCCGCAGAACAAGCTCAGACATGTGCTAATTTCAGCCACAGGTTGGTCGGTCGCCTACAATGCCCCCGTTGATCTCCAATATCACTTCGGCGCCTTCGGTCGGCAATCACCGGTCATCGCTACCACCGGCTTTTCAACCCTCTCCTGGACTGCCGCCACCGACTTCTCATCGGCCTTTCCCTCCTCACGCCTATGCGGCGTCACCGCTACACAAGTCTTTAACGCCGCCGCCGTTTGACACCGCACGCAGTCGCGATAGTGATTTGGAACCATTTCCCTCCATTGAATCCTCGCTAGATTCGGCATCGACGGCGTCAGGGAAAACCTACGCTTTCTCGAGTCACATGAGCACCTCCAACAACGAGTCTAGCCCGGTATTGAACATGTATCCTTCTTCTGCATCTCAGCGCCAGCATCATCGGTTCTCAAACCCCACACCGGCGTCATACCGCAACAGAGAGATCCAAATCTATTGTGCCAGTTGCAAACGCCCGTGGGCTTTGAATGAATGCTACGCCTGTACGGAGTGCATCTGTGGCGTGTGTCGAGAGTGTGTCGGATTGTTCATCAGCAGTCCGCCTGCCTCCTTTAGGAATGTGACGTCGAGTCCGGGCAGTGCAATGTCGCATGGACCAACAAGCTATCCCAGTCCCCGAGGCTGCCCTCGCTGCCGCACTGTGGGTGGAAAATGGAAAGCTTTCCAGCTCGACTTCAGGTGAATACACCCTTATTCTTGATGTCTCCAGAGTGAAGCGCACTCTGGTGAGCTTCTGATCGAATTTTATGTTTTACGGATGTTACGATTAATGGCTTTGAGGGTGCACGGTTACTCAAAATTATGGAGCAATGACATGAGCCAGGCACATGAATCACCCAGTGGTCGATGAGTATATGGTGTCGCCCTTGACTGTTTATATCTCGGAACGAGTTATTGAAGGGCTGGCCCGACCATGATTCTCACATGCCATGATAAGGAAATCTTATGAAAATCCGGGATTTTTGGGTGTTTGGTAGGTATACAACAACGCTGGGCGGGTATATATACTACATGGTGGCATTGGTGTTTTGATCATGACAATTTTGGTTTATGTTTGGATGATTTACGTGGGTCGCATTTACGAATATATTGAACATTGATGTAGTTTGATTTGAATAGATGGTGTCGTCATCCTTTTCCAATACTTCCAGAGATTCTATTCTACTCTCTTATGCCTTGCTGGGCCACCAGCTCCCACCCATCAACTGGCCCACCAGACTTCCAATTAATCTGGTTACGCCCATGCTCTTCTCATCCTGTGCCTTGATCATGCCTTGCTTGTCATGCGCACCATCTTCACCCGCAAAGAATCTTACCAGCACCTCCGCGGCTAGTTTGGAGTCATCCCCGTTTCCGTCCACGTCTCCAATTGCCGTCACATACTGCTTGACAAGCTCTTTCGCCCACCCCAATCTCCCTCCAAAGTCGACACATGTCTCACGGTTGACGAATGAATCGAATTCAAAATGGCCTTGATAGGACAGAACACGTCCTGGGCAATACAAGCCTTGAATAGGACAAGGCTTTGATCCCCCAATGTTCATCCAAGGCGAGGGAAGCGCTTTCTCAGGTGAAGACTCAACCGTCACCCAATCCCCATGAATCATCTGCAGTCTCAACGCACGCTTTCCCCTCAAGCAGGGAAATGCGTCCACAAACCCCTTTGTGAGTTCAACCTGCGCCAGTCCCGCTTCTTTTCCATCGGGACAACATCCCACCTTGACCTCATTGGCCGAAGCAGATCCCGCAAGCAAAGCCTCTGCAAGCGCCTGATGACCAAAACAACTTCCAAAGATCCGCACATGCGGATACTGCTCATACACAGTGGTAATGAACTCCAGCAACGGTGCAACCCATGACTGGTACTCAGCACCATACGTGGACGCCACTGATCCCGTAATCAAGATACCGGTGATAGGCAAAGCAAGAGGATTGATAACCTCCCCAACCTTGGCCACTGTGGCAGTAGGCTGCGTGCTTAAACTAGCTAGCGACGGCAAATTACCACCAAGAGTATCGAACGCAGTGGTGTGGATCTCAATATCTTCATCTCTTCCTTCACCTTCTGTAATCCGCCCCGCAGCAGCCCGAAGCAGCTTGCGAAACTGGGTACTATAAAGACCGCGAGCGTAGTAGACGTTCGGAACCGGGACGTCGACGTCCAGGACGGCGATGTGGAGATGTTTCTGGGTTCTCATAGTGTTCTGCGTGCGTGCGTGCGTTATAGGATTATTGAGGGGTTTCGGAGAGTGGTGAGGGGTAGATGCGTCCGATACAAAACCATTATCTAAACAGTTGGGACTTTGATAAGGCGAGAAAGAAAGTGTGGAACCGCGGACCCCTGGGGATCGAGTTGCCTCTTTCGGTAGGTGATCGAGATGCGGGCGCGCCGCTTTAGGGTTGAATCGCGCTGGTTCGGGGAGGTTATTGCGATTTGGGTTGAGATGGCATTTAATTACTGCTTGTCATTATATTACGCCCATAGGGTTCATTTCAAAGGGTCTATGGGTCCATGGGTGAGATAATACGTTAGTTGTATCCAAGTTGGGGTTTTTGCTACAGTTACTCTTGTACTACTTCCAGCGGACTCAACTCGAACTGTTGTAAAATAGAACCCTACATGTCTGAAACCAAATAAAGAACAATCTGGATAAAATGGCAACACAAGTCATACTTCCATCAGCATTAAGCGATAAGCATGTCATAATCATCATCCTGATCAAAGTACCCCCGCTTCAATAACCTTAACGCCTCATTCAGCCACCGTCCAAGATATAGAAAGTCAAAACTGTAACCTTGACCAGGTTTTCGAACTTGTTCCTAGTCGGATTATCTCCTGCTGCGGATATAGTACGCTACGCAAACAAATACTACTGACGTTTTCTCTGGTCCGGGGGTATAGCCCGGAACTTAGTGAATGAATATTCTGGCAAAGTCTATATTTATAGATGTTGCACGGTGAGTTGCAATGGATGTTGCTTTGATCGGAGTAGAGTGGAAAGTCGGTTTATATGGGAGGTGCTGCTGTGTAGTAGATACTACTACTGCGGATGATACATATTGATGTGTGCTATATTAGATCCATTGTGATTAGAAAGTATCATACACAGTAAAAGGATTTTCATGGGTTCACTCACCTTCCTACACATAAAAGCAAGTCTAAATACCCACACAACATAACTGAACTCACGGTCAAAAAGAAGACGAGACGAGTGAAACAAACAAGAAGCTATGCCAACGCCAAATACAAACGCTAAATAAATAACCCCACACAACCACAACCACTAGCAGGAAGATCTAATCAATCTCCCCTGCATCGCCCTCCTTTGAGATCCATCCCTCCCCTTACGCAAAACAGCCTTTCCCGCCCGCGAAAGGAACTCCTTCCAGGTGCCGTCGCCGTGAGCGTGTATGGACAAGTATCTTGTTCCATTCCGGGCATGGAATCCAACCGTGACGACCTTCTGGCCGTCGGCTTTGTCTTTGCTTGAGAGGTGGGGTGTTGTTCCTCTATATGTACATTAGTACAGGGTAGTATATCCAATTAGAGTGGTCTGGATAGTCATGGTAGTAGGTGTATACTCACTGAATCCTCCCCTCAACGACACGGGGATACTAGTAGCCAAATAACATCATTCCTCAGCATTACCTTAAGTAGCTAGGGAAGAGGGAATAAACTCACCCTTCTCTTAATAGACGTCCCCGCAAAATCTACTGTATAACTATACGCTACTCCGGCCTTTGCGGACAGCGTCTCCAGGGAGGTTTGTCTGAATGCTATTCCTAGGGCTATTGTGGTTTAGAGTGCCTGTTTTACGATATGGAAGTCAAAAAATCAATGGATGATACTAACCCTGCGAGAGCGGATGTATCCAATGAGTTCTGTATATTCCCCTTCGTCGCAGGACGTCAGCCATCGGGTAATAGCTACTAGGTAGTTGTGGTTGAGTTGCTCATTCGAGGAGAAGAGGTAGAGGATTCATTTAGTGGGTATGTATCTGGTTATTGGGGATGTGGATACGGAGTATGCACGGTATATACAAGGGATAGCAGAGGCATCTCAGTTAGACAGGATGATTTCCTGGAATGCTTGAGGTACTGATGGTACATGGTTGCATGGGTGGCCCCTCAACGTCATGCGGAGCAATGTACTGCCAGTATTGGCCGCTCGTGTTACCGCCAAGAGCGGCAGAACCTCGTCGACCTCGCAGAGAAAAGTGCGGATATAAGCGGATATAGACGGATAGATATTTTAACAGCTCCGAAAAAGTGAGCTGGGATTCTGTATGTTTTTTGACCGCCTTCAAGCAGGTGGCAGAATCAGCTGTCATGACGGATGCTCCGCCGAATACTTTGTGGATGAGGGAGGAAGATGGTAAATTGTGGTCCAATTGATAGGCTTGGGTCATTTTAGACCATTAAGAATGAATTATTAGATTCGGTATGTGAGAGGAAAAAAATAGAAGGTGAAGCACAAAAAGAAGAGATTCTTCAAGGGTCTCAATGTTGAAGGAACACAAAAAGGTCGTGCCCGGGATCGAACCGGGATTGCTGGAATCAGAATCCAGAGTGATAACCATTACACTACACAACCTGTTGTTGTGATAGATGTCACTGTAATAGGATAGATAAAATGGTTGTTTGAAAACAGCTTGTCTTCTGCCTTTGCTTTAGCATAGTTTCCATATTCAGGATTGCGACTAACTGTATATACTTTGTGTCCTATATTTTTTTTCAAATCACACTAAGTTTGTATTTTACTAGCCCCTGTTTTATAATGATACGAAAATTCCTGCTGTCTTGCCTGATACTACTGCGGAGCAACCGGAACTGTAGTAGACAAGAATAAATCAATCACCATCTTCAATCTGCATGTGAATGGATTAAATTTACTGAAAGTACCATTTCTCATTATTATCTCAGATGTATTTAAATCATAATTTAGTCAAATTTATGCAGCTCATATGCAATTTATCATAATCAGGTACCATCCCTCCGCAACCAAAAAACCTACTACCCGATCAGGAAACACATGCCCTATCCACTATGAACAAGATGACCCCATCATCTCAAAACACCAATAAATGAGAAACATAAGCATCATACTTATCCCAGCTCTCGCCCGAGAAATTCATCTTCAATAGTAATTACTACTTACTACCGATCAACCGGCACTTTGCTCCGCTGATCATCCCTCTCATATACCCGACCCTCCATGGTCTAGCCATCCATCCACCATCTACCATCTACCAGCCATCGTCTTTCTAATAGTAAGTAGATACTAAGATTAATTCAACTTCATCCACCAACTAAATAAACCAACTGTATACTACAATATAAGAACTAATAACACTATTCACATCCATCTCACAAACTAATCAGACAATCCGCAGCATAATAATAATCAATCACAAGCCTTTCCCGCGGGCATCACAACAGCCACAGCCGAGATTGCGCCATCGGCAAATCAACATTCGTGATCGCCGACTCAACACCCGCGGCGCACTCCTCCTATGAGAAGTCGCAGATGGTTTCAACGTATAGTCACGGCGCACGCAATTCCCCTCCACTGATGGTTACATCGCTTATCGTTCCGAACATGCTCGGCGAGTTCAATGGCCAGGGGTTGAAGTGGGATGATGACTAGGATATGAGGGGGGGGAAAGGTTTCTGGAATGAGGGGTATATAAATACTACTGATGTATCCTTTCCTTGCAGTTTCTGTCTTTGATTGATTACTGCACTACTACTACTACCACTACTACTGGCGTTGATATCAATATCTGATTGATAAGATCTCATTTATCTATTTATTCAACTCTACTGAATTTCGACTCCGACTCCATCCATCATGGCCCTAACCCAACAACAACCCGCCACCATTCCCTTAGACGTCTTCCCCGACGGACTAAAAACCACGGGTCAACACCCTCCACTCTACGAACATATTCACCCCTTCGATAAATTCCCCAAGGAGATCACCGGCCCCACGGTCTGGAAGCCTGAGGATTACAGCAATAACCCAGAGAAATGGACGCATCGGTTCACAGAGGAGGAGATTGACGAGTTATCCGCCGCTGCGGATGGGTTTTTGGAGGCGAAGATTCCCATGACTGGTATTAGCAAGGTAAGCCACCTGTTTACTACCCTTGTTGGTTCTTCTGTGGTTTCAAGGTAATGTGTTGACGACGATGGTAGAGCAACTTCCCCCTCCCCAACCTAGCCGCCCGCCTGCACGAACTCCGCGCCGACCTCCTCGACGGCAAGGGATTCATCCTCTTCAAGGGCTTCCCTGTTGAGAAGTGGGGAAACCACAAGTCTGCTGTCGCGTACATGGGTCTCGGCACGTACCTCGGGTACTTTGTTAGCCAGAACAGTCGGGGCCATGTGCTTGGTCATGTGAAGGATCTGGGCGAGGATCCGACGCAGATTGATTCTGTGCGGATTTATCGCACGAATGCTAGGTAAGGATCACTTCATTCGCTTGTTGTTTCTTTGGCATGAGCTAATTGTGTAGACAATTCTTCCACGCAGATGACTCCGATATCGTTGGCTTGCTTTGCATCCACCGCGCCAGGGAGGGAGGTGAATCTGACCTGTGCTCTTCGCACAACGTCTATAATGTCCTGGCGAAGGAGCGCCCGGATGTGCTCAAGACTCTCACAGAGCCTATCTGGTACTTTGACCGCAAGGGCGAGACGAGCACGGGACAGGAGGAGTATATCAAGACGAGTGTTATTTATCTGGAGCGTGGGGAGAACCCTCGCGTTTATACCAAGTATGTATCCATTGCCTTCGACAGTTCGTTGAGTGAAGAACTGTGCTGATACTTTTGCAGGTGGGACCCCTACTATGTGCGTTCTCTCACTCGCTTCTCCGACGCTGGAATCATCCCTCCGCTCTCAGCTGCTCAGGTTGAAGCTCTGGAGGTCCTTGAGGCGACTTGCAACCGCGTCAAACTGCACATGATCCTCGAAGTCGGCGATATTCAGTTCCTGGCCAACTCCCATGTGCTGCATGCACGCACGGCCTATGTTGATCACGCTCCGCCTACGCCCAGACGCCATCTCATGCGGTTGTGGTTGGCCACGCCGGAGAGCGAGGGCGGATGGAAGCTGCCATTCTGGGATAGCAATGAGAAGAAGAGAGGTGGTATCCAGGTCGATGATCAGGCCCCGGTGGCTCCTCTGGATGCCGAGTAACGGGCCAAAACGACCCGATGATATTCATGTCTGTAATGTGTACGTTTAGCTTCAATACCATGTTAAATTAGTTATGAGAGTTTTGCTATACCTCATGTACCTCATTATTCGTAATTCATACAAGCTTGCCTCCTATGGGATAGATATAATATGCAATCACTGCACAATCTTGTAGCTGCCTCCGCTGATGATCTCCAGTTTTCCTTTCGACACCATTCCAGCTAGGAACTCTCGTAGCTCCTCATTGCTGTATGGGAATCCTCCCGGAACGGCGATCTTCAGCATCATCACGATCCGTTGCAGTGGCATTGCGCCCTGGTTGGTCAACATGCCCACAATGAACTGCCAATACAGGTTCATCTTCTCCATCGCCGCCGCTTCGGCCGTTTCCTTCGCTGCCGCTGCCGCGGCTGCATCTGCCTCGGCTGCTGCTTGTGCTGATTCTGCTGACTGGTCCTCCGCATCGCCTGCGCCAGGTAACCCAGGCTCTCCGCCTGATGCATCGCCCTCTTCGCTCGGAAGGACCTCCAGGACTCGGAATGTATCCCGCTGTGTTTCCACGAGAATGCGCTTGCTTACCCAGAAGAGACATGCGCTGCGCACGAGTGCAGTCGACATACCGAGTTCGCTGGCGAGTCCGTCCGTTGTCTTGGTCACGGCCTCATCCGACGGAGAATTGAAGGCGTAGATCACTGTGGCTTGCCAGGTAGTAACCTCGTCCATGAACACGCGGTCCTCGAGATCCAGCTCCACAGTGACCTGTCCGAGTCCGTTCAACCAGGTGAGCTTGCGCGACTGCTTGAGCGATCCGAACCCTTGCGCGTACCGCTGCTGGAGCGAGGAAATCTCCTCTGGAACATTAAACTCCAACCCTTGAATCTCAGGCCAGAAGAAGTGCGAGAGGATCTTGGCGTGAAGCTCTGGCATGTCTTCGTCATCCTCTGTTGCTCGTCTGCCGTCAGGAGTAACTGGAAGTTGAGCCTTGCGCTTTCCGCTCAGTCCTTGGTCATTGCGTATAACTGCATCAACGCGGCGGGAATCGAAAATATCCCGCAGCATGACTTCACAAGCTTGCAAGGCATTGTCACCAAAGCGCACCTTGAGAAGCTCCAGAACGGACATCTCCTGGTCAAAGTCGGCGCGCTTTTGTAGTAGTCGCTCGCCTAGCATGTTCTGCATCTCCTTGACGAACATTTCCTTGGACTCGAACAGACTGATAAGGCTTCCAATTACGTCGGACGTCTTCGACTTCCGATAGTCTGGTGCCGCGTCCACCGGATCGGGAACCCAGTTCATATCATCCCAGTCGAGTTCTCCACTATCCGCTCGCAGCGAGTTCTGGTGTGCTTTAGTCAATTCGGCTGACAACTCCACCAGTGTGTCTGTATGAGAAGCAGTTTGTCCATCAGCATCGGCCGGATCAGACAAGAGCCCGCCAACGATGACCTTGACGGTGTCATCGCGGTCGCGAAGGTATCTGCGAATGGGCCTAGCAATCCGGTCCAGAAGCACCCCCTTTGGATCTAGCAGGTTGAATGCCCGTATAATGGAGATATACACCTGCAGAATCTCGACAGTAGATGCACCTGGGTGCAGCAATCGCTGGTTGAGAACGGCAATGAAAGAGTGCGTTAGATGGGATCGTGCTGCCGGATACGTAGTAAAGTGCCGTAAATCTTCGATAGCTCCACTGCTCGCTGGCCACTCAACAATGATATCGAAGAGTTCGCCTGCCCGGAGAGCCCCAAGGCGAGAGATACCAATTTCCTGCCACTTCTCTACATCACTCAGATTCACGTCGAGACTATCCGGTTCCCTGATCCCAGACTCTGGGGTGTTAATTATGGCTAGGACTTGGACGACCAGCCGCGCGAACACGTTCTCAATCCAGTGCCGTAAATGCTGGACGACTAGTGAAGGCCCTTCCCATTGCCCGGTGTATGCCGCTCGAATGAATTCGCTCAGCATGGTATCCATTACACTAGCAAAGACCTTCTGCGCCTTGTCGCCGCCCATGCCAACCATCTGTAGCCCATCAAAGAGCACCAGAAGGACCTCTCGAGACGCACTAACACGCGCATCCTCTCCAGCCATCAGGCTCATCCTGGCCTCGACGGAGGGCTCATTTCGCCAGTCCTGGTACGAAACCGAAAATTGCCGATCGACTTCCATATCATCAACGCTCCCTGACTCGTCATCTCTCTCCTCACCCAAAGTATCAATCCCCAGGATAACCAAAGCCTCCGTAGTAATCACATGAGTCAGCAACGTAGACCTCAACGACCATGGCAACGCATAAGCGACCATCATGTGGAACGACGTCCGGAGCTTGACGAACATAGGCTCTTGATCGGAAGTATCGAGAAGCGGCAGCAAGTATTCCATTAAGTGCGAAAAGTATATCCTCCTTGCCAGCTGCAAGCAGTCCACGATCTTATGTAGCAACCTCTCTTTCTGGGGATAATTCAGAAGCTGTAACTCCATGATCAGTACCACACATAGCTGGAGACACCTTAGATGCGAGACCTACCTTATACAGCCCACCCCTGAAATTCTTCAAAAAGTGCCTCCGCATCTCATACGCATACCAATCCAGTATGTTCCTTTGCGCCATATCCTCCGTCACATCCAATCCCATTGTAAAAGGTTTCATCAAGTACTCGAGCGCCTCCATCACCTCTCGGGAAGGTTTTTTATCGCGATTCGTCAAGCGCAGGAACTTCGCTTCTCCTATATCCTCATATCGATAGAGTATATCGAACCCGCAATCCGGGATGGCAAGGAACTTTGTCGCAACCTGCCAGGCACGATCCAATGTCGCTTGGTCCATCCATGGCTCGTCGATATCGGTTTTATCTGATGCTATTGAAGATCGAAACTGGGAGCTGCTATCGCGGGTTTTCGTGCCGGAGGAGAAGTTCGGAAAGAGAGTAGAGGTTGTAGGTCCGATTGCGAGGCCCGCGGATGGGAAATCTTCTAGGGACGCGGAGGGGAGGACGGAGTTGAAGACGCGTCGGCGGCTGGTGTGGATGGCTGTGGTTGTGGATGGCATGTTGGCGGTTCAGCAATGGCTCACTCCATCATTGATCTGGATGAGTCGCGTCTGAGAGCACTCCTTCACCAGGATGCCATGGCTTGAGGGGTGTTTGTTGATGCCGGTGTTTGGCACCATCATGGATAATGTGCTTAGTCATCTAATCAACATGCTTATCGATAAGAGTTCCGAAAGAGGAAATGTGCAATCAAAGAGCTTCAGTATGTAGAGCTAGCTAGCTTTAGCCTTGATTTCTGTAAGCATAGCTGCTGCTTCTATCAGTTCTAGTATATTACATAGTTTTAATTTTGTCAGTGTCTCGCATTCTGTGAAAAAATTGTTGATGCCACCAGCTTTCTCAATCGCAAACATGTTTAGTTGGAATATATATAACGAGCTGCTATCAATTTAGCATGAAGCATTTTACTGAATTCAGTATGATGCTCTCGTGTCCTTGAGAAGGAAGCAAAGAACTGGAAACGCCCAAAACACCAACCAGGCAATTACAGCACCTTCTGCATGCATCTACATACCCTCGTTCTAAGTGTGAGTGGAGAGAAGGCCTAGTCATATGATAGACAATTTATGAGTCGAGACCTTTGCTCAATAGCACAGCAGTACTCATCTCTCCCTCATATCTAACGCCATGTCTAGATTGGTCAATCTAATCGTGCTCCGGCGGGGTTTCCATGCAGCTTGAAAGCGGGGGTCAAAACTCTGCATGAGATATCAACAACACCCACCCTGTTCATGTGAGCGGGCAAAGGGATATCCGGACTACATGCAAGACCGGGCTTATAGCTTTGCCGCGGGACTTTGTTGCTAGAAGTCATAGTGGAAGCAAGAAAGTATCGTGGCCACCAACCTGGTCATACTACCCCGTATTGCTGGACCATCAAAGTATCAAGTAACAGGTCTACATTTCATTCCATTGCCCGGCATGTATCAGTCATCTATAGGGTATCTTGCCGGTGCAGCAAACAGAATGCCTCTCTGGTATCTATATGGGACACAGACGGAAATGGTGTATGGCAACGAAGCCGTAACGGCCCATGTCCGCCGCAGGATGGTCAAGAAATAAGTCGGGCCACCACACGGGCCCCTAGGTTGATGTACTAACAATCCCTGACAATGATCCAATCCCGTGTACGCCCTAGGCCGCCTTACCGTCATCTACCTTCTCCCACTCGCTATCGGTGCTTTGGTAACCGGAGCTCTCACCGCTGACGCTCAGGCGCTTCCGAACTTCGCCTTGTTCCTCCGGTGGCCGAAGTGTTGCCGAAGCAGCAAGAGACCGAGGAGCGGAAGCGGTGGCAGCAGCACCCTTGTGCTCCGTTAGAAGTTCTGTTTCCGTATCGCTCCCGGCACTGTCGAGAGTCGCCGGGGTTTTCCGACTGCCGTCTGGCTTGGCTTGGCTCTCTGCAGGCTCTTCCGATTGTTGCTTTTTCTCCGCCTCCTCAGCTTGCACCTGCCTAAGCTCCTGAGCGAACCAGTTGATGGACCACCATAGGGCGCCGGACAAGATGGACAGGACGAAAAAGTGGATGCTATACGTGGCGAGGAGGAGGGCGAACAGGAGAGCCTGGAGGGCAGCGAAGGTGACGTTGGTCGCGATGAGGAGGGAGGGGGTGGGACCCGGGGTAAAGATGCTAGACCAGAGGTCCTCCATAAACGAGCCCATAATTTCGGATTACGCGCGATTGCGGCTAGTTGCGGGGAACGGCTGGAGACTTGGGGTCACAGAAAGCGGCTCTGGGGTAGGGGAACTGTGGAATGACGTTGATGTCGGAAACTGGAATCCGTTGTTGTTGTTGAGTTTTTCTTCTTTCCCTGTGGACGGATAGTGCAACAACCTGTTAGCAATGCCGGGATGTCGGGGATCGAGGATGACAAACTATGCAGCAAACCGGGATCTCAGTCGCAACTGCGGACCGGTGGCCAAAAACAAAATGCCGTTCGGAGGGGAGAAGAGAGGATGCAGATGGGAAGGTAGGACGAGACGACCGGTAGTCGACCGAAGCAGGCAGACGGTCGGCGTTTGAGT